AATTAATTACTAGGGCTATCCCGGCATCCATCAAAAACTTCAGAATGCACGCCAATGCTCACATCTGTGCGCAGCCGTACTAACTACTTTTTGCCTTCTTACACTGAAATCAAAGCGTGACTTTGTAGATAGCAACCCTTTCTACAATTTACACCTCTATTAGTTAGCAATTATTCACAGTCCTTTGGAAGGAATACCCAGGATCTCCAAAATTTTCCGCTGAGTGAAGCAAAATGGGAAAATTAGGCTTAGTGGCCAAAGTTGACCAACAACAGAAAATGGTAAATGTAAAAAAACTGAAAAATTAAGTAATTATTTCTTGAAACTAAAAACCATGAAGATCTCTTCAAAAAGATTATGGACAACAGTATTTCCACGAACCTGGAAGCTGCACATCAACGTCTCATCTACACTCATCATACCACCAGCATTGTCGAATTCACCGCAATAGTTCGGCGCAGAGAACAGCGTTACTAATTGCCGTTTAGCAAAGAACTCATAACCATCTTCAACAACCTGGAATAGAATAGATAAAACGTCAAGTACTCTTGAGAGGATCTGTAAGAGAAGAATTCTCAAGCAACATTCATACAAAATGTTTGTCACTGAGATGGAAAATGGAAGAGTGAGATCTTTCCGTTAGCTCTATGTAGAGTGAATTTGCTTAAACAAAGGAAGAAATAAGAGACTTCTGAAAACTCTCATCTGGCGCAAATTGTAAATCTTTACCTTAAGAACCTCTTCCTGATATTATCAAAATTTTATCAGAGTGTGTAACACCTATCCTTTTCTACAACTTATAGAAGCAGTATATTCGCCAACACATAATGAAAAAAAATATTTGACCTGTAATTTTTAGCTTGTAGGCATAGCACCTACGTCACTTGATGAACCAACTACAAACCCATGAAACATCAACTGGGTAAGCGCTGATTAACTGTCCTTTTCAATAATATTGGAATACCAAAGGTGATTCCAGCAAAAACAAAAAAAAATTAGATTCCAATGATTCTGTGAGTCTGCAAATTCTAAATTTAAAATAATCGA